ACAAAAAGTGAAAGTTGAGCTTGCACACTTTGAATGATTCGCGACTGCAAGAATTAAATTGCAAACGTCTCATAACTCTTCAAACCTTTACAAATTGAAAAAATATAATGCAAATTCTAATGTTTCTTCTTGAGTAAATTATATTGTCTCTAAATTAAATTTAAATTATACTTTCACACTATTACAAATTAGCAATGAACGATATAAATAAGGTTTGTATATAAAAAGTTATATATATATATATATATATATATATTAAAAAAAGACTTATTGTATTGAAAATAAATAAATAAAATAGAGTATTTCCCAGATGTGCTATTATATTTTGTTACGCTTAGATTGCGATAATATAGTTTTTTTTTTATATGTATTGTTGCTTTTGCCATTCACAACAAATCGTCCTTATTCCAAAGTAATTTCCTTGAACGAGGCAACGTTTATATGAATGGATCAGCTGCAAATAAAGGGATGACAAGTTTTATCGATATCAAAGATGAAAACTTTACAAAACCATTTTCAGAGTGCCAATAGCAGCAATAATGGTGGCGCCGGAAATATGAACCTGGTTTCGCTCGTGGGCACGAATGGGACTCGAAGACCACCCTCCCAACAATCATCGTTTCATTCGTCTAAGAACCATTCCCGGCATCAACCTGCATCTGCTCCGCCGTCAACACCGCGGAATGCCTGTCAGATGACTGAAATAGAAGCTCCGTGTATACGTAAGTTAGTCTATTGCGATGTAAAATTCAAGCCTTTTAAAAATCTCCCACATAGTATGACTTGTGGATAAGATTGTCTCGTGATAAGAAATTATCAAAAGTTATCAATATTTTTATTGTAAAAGAAAATAAATATCGATGTTTTTTTATAAAGTAATATTCTCGTAATGACGTAAACATCGTATTTTGACATGATATTTATATAACTATTACAAGATATTTATATAACTGTTACAAGATATTTATATAACTATTACAAGATGGTCTGGCACTATTAAAACTATAAAATAACTTAATAAAAATTTCAAATGCTACAATGATAAAAAAAACAAGAAGTTTTGTATTTAACAAAAGTAAAAACACAAGTTTCTATCGAGTTATAAAATAAGCTTTTTACTTTTATGATTCTGAATAGAGAGATGTAAAAGCTACATAAGATCTATTTTTCACTTCGCAGACGTTAGGTCATCTTGTCGGAATCTCGGATCGACTAGATTTAATCAAGAGAGCATCACTAAAATGCTCGTGCTTATTAGTACGGTATTCATATTGCTTAATTTACCGAGGTGAGAATTTTCATTAATTACTTCTCTTTTATCACGCTTTTTTCTGTTTATTTGTTTACAATACGTTTAAAATTCCTATAAATTGTGATTATGATATTTGCTATATGTCTTCTTTTAGTTTATAAAATACGTATAAATAACTAAATATTTATAATCAGATTAAATTATGTGATGTACACATTTCTTTAATATAAATGTTGCAAAAGATATAATTATTACGTATGAGAAAATGTTTTCAAATTATATCATCGAAACATCATTCGTAAATTGTTGCATTAATCAAGTAATTTAAGCTCGAACAATGTAGTTTCCATTTAATGATAGAAATACATTTGGGCTTTTAGTTTAATATGTTTAAACAAA